ATATGTGTGTGTGTGTAGGAGGTATGTAATTGAATAAGCTGCTACTAAATTAATAATGTACTAATAGTAATAGTATTAGTAAGAAAAATATTACACATTAAGTAAACGAAAACCTATCAGACATAAGGGAAAAGAGTGGAGAAAAGACTAACAAAAATAATGCATAGAAATATATATGAACAAATAATTTTCTGTCGAAGTTTAAAAACAAATGAGAAAATAAATAACGCAAAAAATGATAAAAATATAACAAGCTCAATTGTTCAAAATCCCAAATGTTTCCCAGATGCTATTCACGGACATCCCTTTATTTAATTATCATATTTTTTTATCACTTTTGGCTGAAACAGAAGACGATGATGTAGTATTGTCTTGGGTGACTATATCATTACTAACTAATGCACTCCTAATAGCGTCACTTAATGTCGCGAAATTAACTATTTGGTGGATGAAATGAATTTATTAGATTAAAATTTAGGATTCAAATTCAAAAACCCACAGATACTAATATTGTAAAAAGACTGACTTGGCTTGCTAACATATGTGTTGAATCCCGCGGTATCACATTTCGATGCGACATCGCTGAATACGTTAGCGCTCATTGCGATAATTGGGATAGGACGTTGATTTGGATTCAAATTTGCCGCTTCCCAAGCACGGATTTCTTTTGTAGTCTGATAGCCATCTACATTATAAAAGATAAAGAATTAATACAAAAGTCACTTCTATATAAACAATAGGATTTGCACCGAGGTTAATCCTAGAAAAGAATTTACCTTTTACCGGCATAAACAAATCGCACTATTCGTTGAAATTCGTAAGATTTATTAGATTTCAAATAAATTTATAATAAAATAAGTAATGAAAGATAAATTTACCAAGATCAAGGCAAAATAATCCGGAGGATGCGCGAAAAATATTTCTAAACATTTTTCGCCATTATTTGCCACGGACACATCGAGTCCTACTTTGTTAAGATATCGTATAATAACTACACAAATTAAAAACAATGTTAATTCATAATATCCACGAAAATACATGAATGATTATTTTTTTACCTTTTTGATTTACAAAATTATCTTCAACCAATAAGACTCTTAGACCTCGACCACCAACATCCTCAGCCATACGCTTAAATATTTCTTTTTGACTGGCGACAATTTGATGAGTATTTCGTCGCTTTAGGAAATTTTCACGAACTGTGGTGGTATCATCAAACAAACCTTCCATCTTACTTCGATTAAGAGGCTTAAAAATGAAATCTACTCGAGGCGGCAAATCATTTTGTGCACCTTCCATTACACCAGCTCGTTGTATCGGAGTCGTCAATATTACGGCAACCGTCTGCATAAGATTCGGTGAATTTTTGATAGCACCAGCAAGTGCTATTATATGAGGTTGTAAGTAAAGATTAATAAATACATGGGTATATTGTTTTACATCTGACTGTGATAATATTTCGAATGCATCTGTGTAATCAATAGAAATGTCTATTTCGGGAGTAGGGGTTTTAGGTAGAATTGAACGAACATAATGTTCTAATGTCTTTCTAGCATATGGTAATTCGGCTATTATTAGAACGCAAGCTGGACGTGGTAAATCAATATATATTGGTTTGCGGGGTTTTATCGTAGGAGTTGCGGGTCGTGAGCCACTTCCGCTTGTGGGCGTAATTGGTCTTGATGAATTAGGTGGGGACATTGGAATAGATGATCCTTCATTCTCTGATCCTGCTTTGGGTGTATTGGGATAAGGTGAAGTGGAACGACCATTACTAGAATTATTGCTGCCTGAGTCATTTAGCGAGACCGGAAATGAATAACTGTTGAACATCGAAGAAACCGAATTAGACGATAACGGAGGTTCATTATGTGCGGATCCGATATGGACTCCTTTATTAGTATAGGAAGAAGATTCTACTGAAGCTTTGCTATATCGGAAAAAAGGTGAATTCGACACTTCAGAGGTTGGCGTTTGAGGTCGAGGGCTTGTCGAATCATTTGGAACATTAAATCTGGCTGAAAAGTAAAAAACTGATCCTTCTCCTTTTCGACTTTTACAATACATTTTGCCACCATGCAATTCAATCAATTGTCGTGATATGACAAGACCAAGTCCACTACCGCCATATTTTCGCGTAGACGAAGTGTCCACTTGTGAGAACGGTTTAAACATTACTGATTCTTCTTCGGAATCAAACCCTGGACCTGTGTCCACAACTTCAAACAAAAGAACCACCTCCCGGTTTTCAGCATCTGATTGCTGGACAGAACATCGTGAGAAAACTTCACCATCAGATGTAAATTTAATGGCATTCTGAAATTGATGAGATAAAATTAAATTATATCTTCATGGACAATAATATCAAACATAAGAAAATTAATGAAATATACCCCGATGACATTCAGCAAAACTTGTCTTAACCGAATGCGATCACCACAAATCACATCTGGCACATCATCTTCCACTATGAAGCTCAGTTCTAAACCTTTTTGTATGGCCAATGTTGAAAGTAGCTCATTCGCATCTTCAATCATTGTGTGCACTGAAAATGGTTCCATCTCCAGTTTCATCATCCCTGCCTCCACCTTACTAAGATCAAGGATATCATTTATTACCAATAATAGAGCATCAGCAGACTGCTGTATTGTGTGTGCGTAATCAAGTTGTTCGACCGTCAAAGGAGTGTCTAACATGAAATTGATCATCCCAGTGATACCAATTAATGGAGTTCTTATTTCATGCGACATGTTGGATAAGAAGCGTGTTTTGCTTTCGGTCGATTTTTGAGCTGCATCATGTGCTTCTTTTAATTTATGTTCCAGTAGTTTATGATCATTGATATCGGTGCTGATTAATTTTTCATGAAAAACAGAATGGATGTTTAATATACATATATATATTAATGAGTTATATAAAGAAATATATCTAATAAATTTCTTACCAAGTGCCAAACCATTTTCTGCCTTGTTCGGAAGATTCAATACTTATACATTTAACCAAGAACCATTTAAATGTCCCATCAGAACTCATTAATCTCACTTCTTCTTGATGTCTCACTTCCCCATGACTATCATCATCTGATTCAACATCCGGTAGTAAACATTTGCTTCGATCATCGGGGTGGACATGAGATAAGAATCCTAGATTTTGTGATTGTTCAAACGTCAGTCCAGAGTATGTAGTCCATTTCTCGTTTACATAAGTTATCCCGTCTCTAGGCGTTGCAGTAAACACAATTTGTGGTATTGCTTCAGCCAATTGTCGATATTTCTTTTCATTTGCTTCGACATGCAGTTGGCGGGCTTGTTGTTCTTCAGCTTGTTTTTGATCATGAACGTCAGTGCAAGTCCCAAACCAATGTATCACGACACCTCTTGCATCTCTCAAAGGTCCAGCACGTCCCAAGAACCAACGATAATGTCCATCGAATCTACGAATTCTATATTGTGCACTAAAACCTTCACCTCGTGAAAACGCTGTAGTCCACATTTCCCAGACACGCGTTTTATCATCCGGATGTACGGTATCAAACCATCCATAACCCAACATATCTTCAATTCGATTGCCACAATATTGAATCATACGATTATTCACCCAAGTACAGTCCCCATTTATTCGAGAACACGTATATACAGCATTTGGCATTACATCAAGTATTAATCGAAGCAATTTTGTGTTTGGTACAACCAACTGTGGAACAACATTTTGTGAAGAGCCGAATTGGTTATTAACAGTGTTTGTGTTTGTGCTTGTGTTTGTCTTTGAAGGACGTCTTGATTTCCTGTGACGGCGATGACTTGAATGATATCGCGCTAATGAAACTCTACGAGGTTTCCTTTCTTTGGATGAAGAGGAGGTTGCAGCAGCTTTTGATGATATATTGTCTAAAGGTGGCTCTTCTGTAGAATTCATAAAATCATTTTCGTTTACTATTTGGACATCATCATCATAATTTTCATCATCGGATAAGGACTGACGACCAAAGGGATCTTCTTTATCGGTTCCGGGGCTTTGACCGAAACGTGTTGAAAATACAGTGGCGTATTCCCAACGTGAAGAGGAGGAGGAAGTCGTAGAATACTCATCAGATGATGCGCTGTCTATGTATTCAATTCGATCTAATGAATGTGTTTGTTGATTATGATTCATACTATTGCTATGACGATGCTGTTTTCTTCCGACGCGTGGATACGAGGCACGTAAGGTTAGTTCTCTGAGAGTTTGTTGATGTATCGTGGCCATTGAGAATGTGGTAGCGAGGTAAGGTGAAAGTGCGTGCAATGAACGTATAAGATTTGATGGGTACGGAACAACACCTGAAAGAAACGAGAGAATCGCAATTGGAACCGGAGAATGTAGTGCATTTGTGGGTGCAACATTTTTTGCGGTGGTTGGATGTATTAGAGGAATATGTACAATGGAGTAGACATTATTGTTTGTGCCTACCGGGTAAGTGAAATTCGGGGAGGGATGTGTTAATGGGGAAGCGGATGAAGGATTGAATGCTTCGTCATCTATCACGGGCATTGATTGAAAAAATGGATTAATGTTTGGATCGGTAACAACCGGTGAAGGAGCAGGTGATTGTGACCAAGGTGAGGGTTGCTGTTGTTCAAATTCCTCATAGTCACAATGTTGACGCGGTTCCACATGATGAGGATAATTATGATGATTTTTTAAATGATGCATATTTCTTTCATACAAAAAATAGCTATTATGACCCTCTTCTAAATCAACCAGACATGGCGTGTCTAGCACTCGAGGCAACGATGAGGATATCGAGTTTGAGATTATAGAAGCTATAGAACCTTCAGACTTATTCCTACGATGTTTATTGTGATTGTGACGATGATGGTGATGATGGTTATTATAATTGAAATTATTATTAATGTCTTTTGTTGCTGATTCATTCGAGTTTATTGTTGTTGTTGTTGTATTAGTTTTGGTATACGTCGTGGATGTGAACGTTATTGGTTTTGTTGTTTCTCCCATATTATTATTCTTTGAGGTAAAAATATCATATTCAAATCTTCCGTTGCCATTTCCACCACCTGTCCCTCCGCCTCTATCACAATTAGTCCCTCGACTGCCATTAAGTCCTCTACTGCTATTAGGTCCCCTACTTACTGGAAATGCTGCGACCATTTCCTCTTCTTGCTGTTTCTGGGGGGAATTTGTTGAATTCCAAAGTTTTTCTTCTTCCGGTTGCTGATATTCTCTAGATACCACAATAATTTTCCCCCGCTGCAAGATCCTTAGGATGCCTTTATTGTCCAATAATGGTTCAACATCGCATTCAAACGATTTTAACTTATCAAATACCAAATGACCATGATCATTTGATGAATTTGAAGTAGAGTCCGTGACATTATCCGAATGGCCAGCATTCCCTCCACCATTACTATGACAGTTATCTCGATTATATATTGCCTTTACACCCCAAGGAGTGTTTATAGTGTCTGTAAGATCATGGGGTACGGATAATAAAATTCGTGATGCATGATAAGAAGTAACAAAAGTCTCAATTACATTGTCCCACCATTTTCGAATATCTAATTCTGTGGTTAGTTGTAATGAAATTCTGTACAAGTTTGGAGAGGGAAAATTTGGAGCTTGCTGCGGTGGAACCTGTTGATGTTGAGGGGGGGGATTTTGTTGTAGATGTGGATCTGGCGGTTGCACAGGACTTTGAAGATCCTGTTGATTATTAAAAGTTTGATCGTAGTAATAATAATAATTGTTATTATTATTGATATTTATGATGTTATTAATGTGTATTGGTGTTTGTTTTACTTGATTTTCTTGTTCCTTTATTCGTCGCTCTTGATCTACTGTTTCAATAATCTTTTGTGAAATATGTGATTCCGAAGATGCTTTTGATAATGTTGGTTTGCGTTGTTGATCTTTTTCTTTTGATACTAATTGTTGTTGTTGCTGACGTTGCAATTCTTTTTGATATAATTGTTCGGAACGGCTATGTTCCTGCCGCTGCTGCTGTTGTTGTTTCTCCAATGGGATAGAATTGCGATTATGAGCATTATGAGTTTTACTGTTTCTATTTGTATTTTTTAAGAAAGATCTTGCTTTTTGTTCCCGTACTGGTATTATTTTAGTCGGTGTATTATCCGATGATATTTGTTGCGATGATTCCAATGATTGCTGCTGATGATTATGGTTTTGCTCTTGTTCTTGCCCTGAAACTTGAGCTTGTTGTTGCTGAGGTGAAGTATGATTATAATTGTGTTGGAATTCTTGATGATGATAGGAGGTTGTTATTGTAGTGTGTGTAGGCGGTATATGTAATACAAATTGGGTCGGTTTCATATTTTGTTCGGAAGTTGTTTGTTGTTGTCGAGTATTATCAACAGAATTGATAATAACAGCGGTAGCAACAATAGATGTGGCGGAGGAGACGAGGAGAGTATCTGCACCAGTAAGATTACTAGTGCCGTTACTGTTATTATTACTGTTTTTTGTTATCGTCGTGTTGGTTGTGGTAAAAGATCTAGTGTCTTCTGTTGAAATGATACCAGGATTAATACTAATATTATTAATATTATTACTAATATTGTTGTTAGTGTTTATATCCGCCAGGCTCCGACTATTGTTCTTATTGTTCTTCTTGTACTTCTTGTTGTTGCTATTTTTGCGAAAAGCCTTCTTTATATTTTCTTTCCTGGGAAATACGAGAATGAAATGAAATGAAGATGAAATGAAAATATTAAATTAATTTTAAACGAAGAGAGAGTTATTGATCTTAAAAAATTAGTGAGAATGATGGTATGTGACGTGATAATAAAAAACATTAATCATAATTATCGTCACTCGTCATATGAAGAGAAATTTATCAAATAAAATTTGACCGCGCCGCTCAGAATAATACAGGTCTCTCTTCTCCTTCACTATTCACCACTTAAAATCCCGATCCAATTAATAATAAATGTCACGCGCGTAGAAATAAAAAATAAAAATACCAGCGAATAAGTTTTGACGTTTTTTGAGGGGTCTGATTTTTTAATATATTGTTATCAGCGGTGAATCGAGAAACTGTATTTGTATTGAAGTCGCCGGCGTTTCTGGTACTAATATTTGTATTGTGAATCGTCGTCGTTTTCTTTTGTTTCTGAAATTTGGCGTCCAGTTTCAAGTGTTTATTCTCCCGTGCAAAGTTGAAGAACGCACGCGTAATTTTGTATTTCTTAGAAATAAACAATAAACAAGAGCGCTTCCAAAAATGTTGCTTGCTTAATAAAAATATTTTTTTCTCAAGTTTTAATTACTCTTTTTTGTAGTTCTTACATATATGATTATTCCGGTCAATCTATATATATATATTTTTTTTATTACTACTACTATTATTATTATTATTATTATTATTATTATTATCACTTTTTAAGTTTTTTAACCACTGTTGATCGTTTTGCTGTTGAAGCTTGCTAATATTTTGAATGAGCAACACTCTTTGGTATTACTTTTTGGTAATTGAACAGTAGTCGCAATCGCAATGAATACACATTTGAGTTCGAAATGAAAGAAAGGAAGGGGGAGGGAGAAAAACGATATGGTAGTAATAGAAAAGATATTTGTGCAGTCTCTGCTTGTAATAATAATAATAATAATAATTATTATTAATAATAATAATAATAATGATAATAGAATAGAATAGAATAGAAAAAATTTAGACAACGAAGCTAATAAATCAGCGATAAAATATTTAGAGTATGTGTATTTTTTGTGTTGTGCGTATGTGCACGCAAAAGTTTATGTGAGTAGAGAGCTGAATTTTGGCGTGTTGTCTGGTTTTTGTGGATGTAAAATGTATGTGTTGTTTGTGGTAATCTCCTTTTTTACTATAATACTGCTTTTCTTTTTATATATGGTATTTTTATTTATTCTTTTTTTTTTATATGGCAATTTTTATTTATACATTTATACATTTACAACATTTGCAAAGGGACAGTGGGATGTGCGATGATGATGATGATGTGTTACTTGCAGATAACTAAATATTTCAAATGAGCGACATAAAATAAGATTTAAATTTAACAATGATGGATTATACCCGATGATTATATTCGTAATTTAAAATATGCGAACTAATTATTCAACTTTAAATATAATTTAATTCACGTATTTCATCATTACGCATCTTATTATCATTATTTATTATTTGAGCGTTTTGTTTTTAGGAGATTAATTAAGAGGTGATTAAGGCTTTGGGTCTTAATAATTAATGGGAAGAGATATGTTAGGTATGTAACGAAGAGGTAGTAGAAACAGGGGGGTTGATTATGTTATATGTCAATGCTAGAAGGGAGCGTGAATCGCGTGAATGGATAAACCACATAAAGATAAGTATAGTAGAGATATAGTTCAAAACGTATAGGGTGCCTACATACATAATACTGTACATAGTAAGCATTCACACGTAAAAAATTTAAAATATGCACAGAAAAGAAAAAAATAACGCGATGAAAAAAGATGGGAGACGCGTTTTCGATTCTTTAATATGACATCATTAATTCGATCATCCCACCTAATGCGATATTGAAGATTGACAAAACTCTGTTGTCAACGAGTTTGTGGCAAGATTTTTGCTGTTGCTGTTTTTAGTTTTTTTTTTTTCTCTTTTCGAAAAGAGAAGGAACTCGATTAATTTATTAATCTAAAAAGTCAGGTAACTTAACCAAACGCGTAATTCAATTGAAACAGAAAGAAAATTCAAAGCCCAAAATTTATGACACTGCCTCAACCTCAACAAATATGTACATGTGGATCGCATTACTCGAATATCTGGTGATGAATATTTCGGAGAGAAAAAGAGAAAAAAAAGCCCATATAAATGACATGACGCGTTTTGAATCAAATCATGATATGATGTCCATGTAAAGTGGAAGCGCGTGTCTTAAGTTTTTTGATTAGACCAAACTCTAAATCCAAAGTCAAATTTTCTTTATAATTTTTACGCGCGTCATAGATTTAGATGTTTGTGTTTGTATCGATATTAGGTTAATCATGTATGCATGATGTACCACTCGTTTCTAATTGTGTAATATATAGAATGGATTTTCTTGCAAAACACTCTTTGTAATGCGCTGACTGACTATCTGTCTGTCTCTGTATATGCGTAGCTTGTGTAAATGTGAGAGAATGAAATGAATGAATGCCGCTGGTGCACATAAAAGCCAGATAACGTCACATTGCAACAGGGATATATTAATCATTAAAAACATAAATTTTTAATAATGAATTTTAATACATTGAAGAATTAACTGATAATATTGCTTTTGTGTTCTATAAAGAATAACAATAGACAAAGAGAATTTGTGCGCGTAATGCTCACATCTTCAACATAAACATATATTGCATGTGCAACAACGACGATGACCACGGCACCTTATTTAATTTAAGGAAATATCTCTATGCTCGTTTTGGTGAATTATTGCACCTTCTTTTTCGTCTCATTCTGCTACCCTTTATGATTCGACCTTGTTTTGTACATCTACACATTACGTATTATTACCACGGAATGCATGAACAAGACCGAAATGTTATTTTGAATTTAATGTTTTTTTTATTTGTGTGAATTATTAAGTCAAGAAGCGAGTTGTGTGGGTATAATGACAAGATCCTTATTATATCTTATACGTGTAATGCATGTATACTTGCTAAATCGGTAGGCGAATAGGAAGATTTCTACACGACAAGAAACAGGACAACAAGCTCTAGTAACAAAACAAATCCAACAAGAATGGAATCCTGATTTGATCGTAATACACGTATTTTCAAGTCCAAATTCTTTACCAGATCCCAAAAATGATATCAGCGAAAATCGCTTTGTTACGGCTTGGCCCATGTACTTGCTGAAGAGCAGCGCACAAAAAACTCTAACACGACACGTGTAAACATAGGAAACACGTATAGCAAAGGGAATGTGTGCATCATATATGTTTAATCTATCTGGTAGGAGAAAAATGGTTAAGTGATAAAAATCACAAGCAATACAAATCAAGTTTTTGTAGAATGTTTTTGCTGCCCATATTAAAAAAAAGAATAAACCAGTTTATCCTAACCCCAAAAACATCTAATTATAATTGTTTTGACGGGAAGGAAAAACGTTTTTCTCCATTTTGTGTACGTATTCGCAAAAGAACGACGAGGATGACGTATTCCCTAGGGTAAGGATTTATGAGGGCTGGATGTTTGGATGCGAGTTGATTATAATATTAACGCTAGTCAATTTGATTTTTAGGGTCTGACTTTTTTTTGATAATTTACATAATTCTCAATTCTTTTTATAAGACCTCGATCAAATACTTCAAATATTATTATTTGGGATCTAACGCAGTGTTTCGTTTGATTTTATTACTTATTTTGTTATCCAATTAGATAAATTAATATAAATTAAAAACGACGACAAAAGTGTTGAATTATAACAATAATGCAAACACAATATACATGTACATAAATACGCAATAAGTATAAATAAATGGGAATAATTGTTAATTAAAAAAAATTCGGGGATTAGGTTTGCTATTATCAATTCAAAGGTGCATATTTTGGTGTGCTACACAATGGTACAAAAATGATATCATAAAATCGGAATAAATAATAACAAAACCAATAATATTAAAAATAAAAATCCCGACCCACGTTTTTCTAGGAAACTTGGAACAATCATTCGAAAAGAAGACGTCATTGAGCATAAAACCAATAAACATATATTTGAAAAAAAAATTTTATAAATATGTGGCAACAAACAATAATTATTAAGAAATATTCATACATGCATATCTTCATAATCAACAGAGAGCATTGCATGATTTGCATTTTACGGAATGATAAAAATTCAAAAAATCACACAATTAATGCCGACTAATTAATACCAGCCACCTTTACAATTTTTCACCAGAATATTTGAATATTTGTGTATCAAGTTTTCTTAGATTTTAACGATAACAACTCCGAATATCAAATATAAATTACATAACATCTTGATCGTCAACAACACATGATGTAATTGTACATATTTGGGTATTCCCTTTTTGGTAGATCTTCCGCGTTATATAATAAAATGTGCGTGTATCCTGTGTTCTTTACGTCATTGTTGCCATTGATGTTATTGATGTTATGAACACAAAATAAATTTGTGTAAGTGTTTCTTAAATATGGCAATAATAGGATCAAGCATAAATTTCTTAAAGCAAAAATTTAATTAATAATGCCAAATAATCGTTCTTAAGCTGCGTATTTTTTCCGAAAAGATCACTTTTTTGATTAATTGATCATTTTTGTCACTTTGTTCAGAAATTTTATTATGACGATGTTGAATGATGCATGAAAAAAGGCATTTACAAAATAATGTTGGTCACAAGTTTTTGTTCCCGAGTCAAAATAAATGAAAATTAATTATGGTTTGAAACTTGATTTTTATGGAATTTTAATGATGTCGTGTTGTTATTCAATTCTCCTCACCTTTGACGACGACGGGTGGTCTCGATTTAGAGATCGTCGATATGAGCCTATTATTTGATAAATCAAGTTAGAAGCTCAAATGCTTATGTTATCCGATGATATGTATATTTGGAATTCATTGTTTGTGCGCGTGGATTTTAATTAATTTCGAAAAAAGCATTGGTCGAGTTCTATTTATCAATAGACATCTAAGCACGTGTGTTTTCCTAAATCGTGGTATTTTCCGATAAAAAAAACTGGCTAAATGCTTTTATCAAATGGGGACATCCAGGGATGTTTAATTCTAAGAATTGCTGGATGTGTCTCAATATACATATATAAAGCACAAAGTTATTGCCTTTTTAATTTAACCCTTGTTTTTAAATATTTAAGAGACTAACGCATTAAAGGTTAGTGTCTTTGTAGATTCATAACCTAAGCAAAAGCAAGGAACAAACGAGTCTAGCCTTTATACGGAATATCTTACATATAGGGTTAGTAACCATAAGATCCCCAAGACTCGGCTCGGAACAAATTGTCACGTTTATTGACAACGTCATACTACATATGTCACCTTCCATTAACTTTCTTATCAGGAAGTTGGAGGGTACAAAAATTATGACATAATGCTATGTATCATGCCGAGGTCGTAGAGCGTATGTTGAATCAACGAACTTTTTTTTTGTTTGGATCGTGATAGCATTATCTATTTCACGATCCCGAATACCAATCATATTAAAAATGGCGCTAGAAAATTATTTCAAACAGCTTTTCACGCGTTTCCTTTCTTGAGAGACCAAGCTTTAATAAAGTAAGATGGGTTATTCGAGTACAATAACATTTTATTTTTAATAGCGACGCGTAAATTGCACTATTTAAACACGTATCACCCTCATTTGGATGCCCTGTGAAATTAGGATTTGCTGCTAGACCCTTTATAGTAATTTAACTTTCGGTTCATTCTTCTAATTGGTTAAGTGTGTAAAAAGTCTTTCAAAACGAATTGACCGGAATAACATCAAAGAAAAATTGATTTCATCATTATTACGTATTTTTAATTTTCTCTTGGAGGAATTGATGAAATAATAAACAAACTATAAATATTACATAGTTTTTTTATTCTTAATTTAAATAGAAAATTTCATGTGCTCTTATATTCAAATGTTATTTTCCTGGGCCCCCGATCAGATCAATGCATTTAAAATGCGCGTCGCCAAGGTACAGCCAAGAGAAAAATAAATATTTATTATTAAAAAATTGGTGAGTTAACGTGGTATTCTTGCTTTGGGTTGTGAATTATACGTGATAGGTTATTGACATGATTGTAAATGTGATCTCCACAATTAGTAATTCCATCAATAACCTTGCATCATATGCAGGGATCTAATGTAAAAACTGACAAGGATTAACGTTAAAACAATCGAGAGTAAATGTTTTATAACAATATCCAAATTTGGAAAGAATAATAGAAATCACGGTAACAAAAATAATAAATCATAGCTTAACTTGTGCTCGCGTTACTAACTCCAAAAGATCATCTAAGGAATAAAAAATCCTTCCCATATTTATAAAATACCAATACTAACAATTCAAAATAAATATATGGTAAATCCACGAAGTCGATCGAAAATCGAGTGCAGTTAATATCCAAATTAAGAATTCCAGTTACCTCGCATGAATCTGAAGGCACATACACACAAATAAATGACGTTCTTTCCCCCAAGTCATTCCCGAGTTAAAACGCGTTAATTATATGGTATAGTAGTATATTTTACAAGTGACATTTCTTTGGAAAATCAAAATCAGCCTATGTGATAAAATAAAACCGAATATATTATCATTTGGAGCTAGTACTTTTTTATTTGTGTAAAGAAATCTAGACCCTATCTTGTTTAGTTGGATTTTCTTTAAATTAGCTTCTAGACTCCAAAGCTGGGCGCAGAGATAAAATTGAGAACCCTTGGCTACAGATATCTTTTTATTGGTTCGTATTTAAAAAAAGAAATTCCAGAACCTGAGAACAAATAACATTCGATGCTCGAGATTAAGCTTTGCCAAGAAAGTTTATCTTTGAATGAGGTCTCGACTTTGCCACGATCTAGATCAAAAGGCAGGCTAAGTAAGATATATCGACGTGGGACTAGGTCTCACAGACACAAAATAAAATGATACATCTTTTCATTAACTTACTCACTAAATAAAATATACATTACGGTAACCTCTAAACGTTTTGAATTCCTTTCTGCAAGCATTCGACAATAATTCCACTTGTCGGACATTTATTCCACGAGATCTAATTTCTCGGAGCTCTACAAAAGAATACTTGATAATTCCATTGTTCTGGATCTTTTGAATTAAGTTTATCGTATTATGCATTTTTGCGTCATTTTTTTTCTTTGTTAACTCGAATGAATTTTTCCATTGTTCAGTTTTTTTCCTTATATGATATTTTGCAATATGTGGGAGAAATATTCATGCGGTTGATTTCGATATTGGGTTATTACTTAATCAAAATAATTGGATAAAATGCATAAATCAGACCATTTTTTTCTTTTAGATAAATATTCTTACGTAAAGTGCGTAAAGTACGATGTTTCGATTGGTCAGATGAAAAGAATTTTTAGAGGATTTGAATGACGGGAATAAAAAGATGTGAACTTGCATCAATAACCGAATTTTCTAGTTAGTCTTAGAAAAATTAAAATAAAAGATTTCTGTTTGTGTATGTTAAAAATGACGCAATAAATGCATTTGGGATACCCGATGAGTCCGTGCTCGCTGAATTGCGTCATGTTGATCACAAGAATCTGCATATCGGAAATAAAAAGGTTTTTAAGCCAAAACCCCGCTATAGTCACGGTCATTATAGAGGAGTGTGACTATAAAAAGTATTTTTTTTTATAGAAGTGACTATAAAAGGGGGACTTCGAACAGTGTAGTTTCACTGATTATCAAATTTTTTTAAGATAAAATGTTAGCTCTAAAAAGTAATTGTATCTAAATTTTCACGCTGAGCATTTTTACCAAAAGGCTGAAAGCCAGTTGTCATAGTAAATTTGCGATTTTTAAAATTGGATGTGTTACGCATGATCTTGCAATTGGATTGGTTAAATTTATACGTTACGCCGTTCCTATACAAATTTAGAATCCACGTGTGACTGTGTGACTTTTGTTGAACGATCGCTTATTTTGATATGATGTAATTAATTAATTTAGTTTCTATGATGCATGTATAAGAAAATATCAGTGGGAACCTTGCATATATCAAGATTGTTTTAACGAAAAAAATATTTAGCGTGACAGATTAAAATGAAATCAGATTATAACGAAATGGGATATGGTGTTTAAATATCATCGGTCAATTTTAATATCAATTTTAATACTATAACCCTTTTCCGGAATTCTCGGCTCACCAAAAAATTTCATTTTAATCTAGTTTCATTTTAATCTGCCACACTTATTGAGATATTGAAGAGGAGAAAATAATACTGAGTGATGATTCTTTAATGTATATGGAGTAATTGGGTTTCGAGCAAACCAAACTATCATGTTTTATCGTATCAATAAATAATTAGAGAAGAAATCATTAAATATCTTTATAATAATTGTGGCCGATAAACGAAAACAGATTAAAAAGAAATTAAATTTGATCCTTTTTTGTGCTGAAAATTTATATTATACTGACCCTATAACTACTTAAACATCCTCATTTTGTTTAATCTGCCCACAACGCTGTTAAATGATTGCCTCACGGCTGAGTATAGAATTTCTAATACAATTTTTACCGTCTCTCTATTGCTATTAGCAAGATTTTTCTTTTATTTTCCCTTATACATATTTGGTGTGACGTATCTGGTGTTTTTTCTATCGCGTCTTTTTATATTGAAATTGGGAAGAATCGATGATGCAATAATACTAGTATAAATATATCGTTCGTATTATTATATTTTTTGGATTTAGTTTTGTTTTTGTGAATAAAACTATAAATTTTGTGAATAATGTATTTGAAAATCGAATCTTGATCAAGTAATGTAATCGCCGATTTTAATAGTCATACAAAATAGAATAAAGTCAATTTGGAATAATTTGATTAAGCAAGTTACACGTAATTCATAATCATATATTCTACTATTATGATTATTTATTGTTTATCGTTATAATCTGTCCAGTATCTATTATTAATATTGAAATAAAAACTAACAGTAAAGCTTAATCTAATGTTTAATCCAACAACAATGCAATATCCATATTATTGTTTCGTTTTTGAGCCTCTTTCTTTGCGTCATTTCCATCTTCGGAATCCCCAACAATAGTTTTCTCGCTGTTTGACGATGATATATTGCTTAGTGGCAAGAGAGAAATATGAGGAGGAGGGGGTTGATGATGATGAAAATTTGAATTAACATTAATAGCTGTAAATGTTGATTCTGTGAGTGGAGAAAATCTTGGAATTGGCTTTATGATTTCTGTTACAATATCATTATTTATGTCTTTATCGGATAAAGGCTTAATAAAAGAACTATGATGATGAATACTTTGCAAAGATCGAGAACCGTTTTTGCTATATTCTGATTTTATAGTGCCAGAATTGCGATTAGTTACTGCGGTGGCGGTTGGTGCATCTAAAAGACCTTTCGGGATTATATGATCAATTGGAGGAAGGCGCACTTTTTCTTGCGAGCAATCTTTAGCTTTATCTTTGATTGGTGCAAGGGTAATAGGACGAGAATAAGGTTGATGATGATGACGATGCTGATTATGATAATGAAAAGAAGGGAGATGAAAAGTAGGAATTTGATTATTATTCCTGTCAATAATTGAAAGAATGGATTCTGCCATTGTATTCTCTCTGTATTTTGAAAATAAAGATCGATGAAATGATCCGGAAGAGTGCACAGAAGAACCGACTTTAGGTGAAAGCGATTCCAGATTTGTCCGATTCAAATTGGATGACCCGGATTCTATAAATCCATAAGCTAATCTTTCCTGACGAGTACGTTCTTCTTGTTTACGTTTAGCGCGACGATTTTGAAACCTTTATCATTGATAACTTTAAATTTAAAATCTACTAAAATTGCAGAGAAAATCAAATGATTAATTTTTACCAAATATGAACACTTTTGCTTGGCATTTTTAATGTTTGTGCAATGCGTTCTCGTGTTGGACCATCTGGGAAATCATCGTGCTCAAAAAATTGCTCCAAGTATTGGACTTGGCTTGGAGTTGTTCGATGTCGTATTAGAGAATTCATTTTAATGTTTTAATGCTTAATAAAGGAGGCTTATGGTTTCTCTTGCAGATTCGGAAATTATGCAAGTATTTTTAATATAATTAAATATTTGGTAATAAATAAGAACTGAATGAATCGAAGAATAAAATATAAGCTTATTTTATTTTATTTATTTATAATTGCGCTGCTATTCTGATATTTAATATTTTTAACATAAGTAATCTGATAAATGATGATACCATTTATTATATAAGTATTATTTATTAACGGCAAAGGAGTTAATATTCATTAAAATAATAAATGTCTATGATAAATTCTATGATTTGAATAATATTATTTTATATCGAATAGATTTTGGCATATTTTCTGATTTATTTGATCAATTTTTTGTAGTTTTACATATCGATATATGGAATTTGTTTAATTTATATAATCAGTATCGTGGTTTGATATTTTTTGTTATACGCAAAGTTAACATGCCGATTAAGAAAGGAGTTTTAGTAACTTTTAGATTAACTTGGCATTAATTCATAATTAATTTCTTCCATAAGACAAAAAAATCAGCTAATTTTGTTGAAAAACCAATCAAAGGAAAAAGTAGGCATAATTTCGAATAATTTAAGGTTCAACTTTAACCGAGATTTTTATTCGGTTGAAAAAATTTGCATAATAAATATTCTGTCAGTTAATAGAATTTTTCGTTTGATACATTATAAAGCAATAAACTTTTATAAAGAAAACTTAAAATTATGCAAACCGTGACTATGTTACTGTTCCTTTATAAATAAATCATACAAAAATTTAAATCGTACCAAGAATCTTTTGGAGATTTGTTCGTCATGATGGAATATAATACCGTATTTTTTTTAGGATTTTGCAGATTTTCAATTTATTATCGCTATCAATTATCGTTTTTATTATACCGGCAATATTTATTAAGTCTCACAATAATTATATAAATTTGTTAACTTATTCTCCTTTTTACAGTAATTTCGCTCGTTTATCGCAATCACTTGGAAGACCACGACAGAACGAAGACATCGATAACCCGTTCGTGCCGAACAATAAACCAAAAGAATTTGAACCATTAAACATTCTCATCAACTCGTAGAAATATCACCGAATGAATCTCAACAGTAAATCAGAATTAAAAGTAATGCAACGGGAGTTAATTTTATTAATAAACTTAATTAGTTCTATATTTAATCTCTTGGATAAAAATCCATTTATTTTATACATTTAATCTCACTTGCTGGCAAAGATACCTGCTGCAACTCTAGCTGAGGGTTGTAACCCAATTAAAATCTCTCTTTTAATTGTTATAGATATCCTAAATTAATTTTTTATAACAAAACAATAGAAATAAATGTACTTATTATTTTTCAATTAATAATAAATGTTAATTTACATAATAAAATTTTTAAAATATTACAGTTTAAAATTTTTTTACATATTAATTATATAAAATGTGAAACATAAAATATTAATTATCACAAATCTGGAAATTTTTCTGTTAATAATTCTGAATCATCATTAACTTTCTTGGAACAACCAATCCATATTATTTTTTTGATAATTAGTTTAATTTATAATAATATTAAAAATTGTTCCAGTAAAATATGAA